CTAGGGGAAGTACAAGCTATAATCAAAATGCTGCAAACAAAAAAGTCTCCGGGGATTGACCGAATCGATAATCGCACGATCAAGGAACTGCCACAGTCAGCTGTACTGTACCTAGTGCTTATTTTTAACGGTATCCTACGCTTTGGACACTTTCCTTGCAAGTGGAAATGTGCCAAAATAACAATGATCCAAAAGCCAGGCAAGCCCTCTGATCAGCTTGGATCATACAGGCCAATAAGCTTGCTCGCTGGCTTTTCAAAAATCTTTGAGCGACTGCTGCTGCGCCGGATGTTCCAATTGGACAACATCATCAATGCAATTCCGAGCCACCAATTCGGTTTCAGACGTGAGCATGCTGCTGAACAACAATTGGGTCGAGTTACGCAGTTTATACTAGAAGCGTACGAGGACAATAAATACTGCTCTGCGGTCTATATGGACATACAGGAGGCGTTTGATCGTGTCTGGCATGACGGACTGCGATTCAAGCTCAAACAGCTATTGCCGGAAGTCCTCTACCGAGTTATGAATAGCTATCTAAGCGAACGCACATTCATTGTGGACTGCTGTGGAGGTACGCATTCCAGCCTAAAAGAAATCTGCGCCGGCGTTCCGCAGGGTAGTGTTTTAGGGCCTGTACTGTACACCCTATACACATCCGACATGCCCCTACCTGCACCGCTACGACACGGCAAACTGATGCTGGCAACTTATGCCGATGACACGGCCATCTTGTCATCGGCAAACTTGCAAGAAGATGCCATTGCCAATTTGGATCTGTTCCTTGCCACCATTACAACATGGACACAAAAGTGGAGCATTAGCATCAACATTACCAAAACCAAGCACATAATGCACACTTGGAGAAGCTTGCAGATGCCAATTCTTTCCCCAAGAATTTTGGATCAACGGCTCACCACAGAAGAAAGGATTTCATACCTGGGAGTGCAAGTCGATAAAAAGCTTCTTTTGAGCAGCCACGTCACCACCATTGTCGCCAGGGTTAGAGACAGGGCCAAAAAGCTGCACTGGCTAATATCAGAAAGGAGCAAGCTACCATTAAAATGCAAAGTATCACTCTACAAGCAGCTCATAGCCCCAATATGGCAGTTCGCACTTCCGGTCTGGGGATCACTTCTATGCGAAGGCCAATTTGAACGGATTCAAGTTGCGCAAAACAAGATATTGCGAACCATTGCTGGAGCACCTTGGTACGTGCGAAACCAAAGCATCCACACTGATCTGAAGGTCGTGCCGGTGGAAAAAATGTATCAGGATGCTTGCTCCAGGTACTGGGCTCGGCTCAGCAACCACAGCAACGATGAAGCCAAAAATATTGCCCTTAAAGCAAGACTCCCACAACGTCACCTAGGTGTCAGAAGAAGATACGCTGAAATGCTTCGGAAGCACCTACCTCTGGGTCGCCTAGCACAGCAGCAGCGGTCACAGCAGGGCCAGCTACCTTCTCATGGGCAGCCACGTCCGCTCCCACGACCACCTAGTCTCAGAGACTACCTTGTATTTGACATACAAGAACTGCTAAGTCAAACAGTGGTGCAGCCCAACTACCTTCAGGATAGACGAAACAGCCCGTCTCATATACAGCTGTGCTCAACTCTCGCTACCACTACAAGGCCAGGAGCTCTCATTCCTCCCAGTTCAGAGACACCAAGCTCGCATCCAAATCCACAGACGCAGCGGGACGTGGCCACCAGTGCGGATCAAGAAGCAGTGTGCAACACCATGTGCACACTTGCTACACTGTTCATGATGGCAGCCAACCTCTATGTACTTGTACCACAGCGAGGGCCTAAGACTAGGACTACTTGCAGGACACGGCAACTCATCCAATTGCGACTGGCTGAAAGGCAGATAAAGCAAAGACTGCGTTACGCTAACGAACCAATCAGATGGCTTCATACAACTCGTTGCCAAAGGGTTGCCTACTTACAGAAATTCAGACTGCGACATCCCATACAATGGAAAAAGGCCTTGATGCTACGTCTCTCAAGCACCCACACCAATGGCATCTGGCGGCAGGATCAACGGTGGTCACGCTGGCGGCTCCAGCTCATCCAGATGCAACGACTATCAGACTGGGTAGCTTCCAGACAATTGGGGATTTTCCCAATCCTCAAATAATTAATTTGACAGCAATCCCCATGCCAAGGCTGGGAAACTTCACTTGAATTGTATATAACATGTCACTTAATTCATTGTAAGTACTCTAGGTATTAAATGAATAAAAAAAAAACAGTCTGGATCCCAGTCCCCACTTCTCTGTCTGTCAACCAGGCATGGAGCTGGGCTCTGGAATCCAGACCGACATTGCGTTTGTTCCCTTGTGTCGAACGGTAAACAACAACGTCACCTAGGTGTCAGAAGAAGATACGCTGAAATGCTTCGGAAGCACCTACCTCTGGGTCGCCTAGCACAGCAGCAGCGGTCACAGCAGGTCCAGCTACCTTCTCATGGGCAGCTACGTCCGCTCCCACGACCACCTAGTCTCAGAGACTACCTTGTATTTGACATACAAGAACTGCTAAGTCAAACAGTGGTGCAGCCCAACTACCTTCAGGATAGACGAAACAGCCCGTCTCATATACAGCTGTGCTCAACTCTCGCTACCACTACAAGGCCAGGAGCTCTCATTCCTCCCAGTTCAGAGACACCAAGCTCGCATCCAAATCCACAGACGCAGCGGGACGTGGCCACCAGTGCGGATCAAGAAGCAGTGTGCAACACCATGTGCACACTTGCTACACTGTTCATGATGGCAGCCAACCTCTATGTACTTGTACCACAGCGAGGGCCTAAGACTAGGACTACTTGCAGGACACGGCAACTCATCCAATTGCGACTGGCTGAAAGGCAGATAAAGCAAAGACTGCGTTACGCTAACGAACCAATCAGATGGCTTCATACAACTCGTTGCCAAAGGGTTGCCTACTTACAGAAATTCAGACTGCGACATCCCATACAATGGAAAAAGGCCTTGATGCTACGTCTCTCAAGCACCCACACCAATGGCATCTGGCGGCAGGATCAACGGTGGTCACGCTGGCGGCTCCAGCTCATCCAGATGCAACGGCTATCAGACTGGGTAGCTTCCAGACAATTGGGGATTTTCCCAATCCTCAAATAATTAATTTGACAGCAATCCCCATGCCAAGGCTGGGAAACTTCACTTGAATTGTATATAACATGTCACTTAATTCATTGTAAGTACTCTAGGTATTAAATGAATAAAAAAAAAAAAACAGTCTGGATCCCAGTCCCCACTTCTCTGTCTGTCAACCAGGCATGGAGCTGGGCTCTGGAATCCAGACCGACATTGCGTTTGTTCCCTTGTGTCGAACGGTAAACAAACAAAGGCATAAATTAAACAATGTCTAAATAAAGCTTTAAATACATACATACCAAGAAGACGATGCACCCACGACGGTAAATTGGGCCAAATACTCATTTGAAGTGAGCGACTGCTTCGGTATCGCTCATACAAACAATTCCTGGTCAAGCTGCGTGGCGTGTGAGAGACGCCACCAGATATTTCCAAATCACGAAGATGATGCGCTGTCCTGCAACCAAAGGCACATAATTAAAAGCAAAAAATTGTTTAAAACACATACTTACCAAGAAGATGACATGCTCCACGACGGCCTGCTGGCTAAATACTCAACCTGGAGTGAGCGACAGCTCCGGCACCGCCCTCTCAAACAAAGTGGGCAACAGCTCAGCAGCTCCTGTTGGGCTCCATCTAGCAATCTGAATCGCTACCGGCCTGCTTCCAGGCCATCCATTACTATTGAGCCGATTGAATGCGTTACTGTGACCGCCAAGCCAACTGACATGCAATTACTGGCAAGCTTCGTGGCGAGTGAGAGACGCCAACGGATGTTTCCAAACCATGACACTAAGTGCTGTCCTGCAAATAAAGACGATGCGCCTATGACGGTCGACTGGGCCCAGTACTCAATTTGAGGTGAGCGATTGCTTCGGTATCGCCCAGTCAAACAATTTCTGGCCAAGCTGCGTGGCGTGTGAGAGACGACGCTGGACGCTTCCAAATCACGACGAAAATGCGCTGTCCTGCAACCAAAGGCACATAAATAAAAGCAAAAATTGTTTTAAAATACATACTCACCAAAAGATGACATGCTCCACGACGGCCTGCTGGTTGAATACCCAACTTGGAGTGGGCGACTGCTCCGGCATCGCCCATACAAACAATTCCTGGTCAAACTGCATGGCGTGTGAGAGACGCCATTAGAAGCTTCCTAACCACAACGATGATGCGCTGTCTTGCAAGCAAAAGCACAAATAAAAAAATTGTTTACATACTTACCAAGAAGATGATACGCCCCACGATGGCCTCCTGGTTAAATACACAATTTGCAGTGAGCGACGGCATCGGCATCGCCCACTCGAACAAAATATGCAACAGCTCAGCAGCTCCTTGTGGGCTCCACCTAGCACCCTGAACTGCAACCGGCCTGTACTGCGGGCCACCCAATGCGTTGCTGCGGCTGCCAAGCCAGCTGACATGCAATACTCAGATAAGATGATCTGCTCCACGACGATCCACTGAGCCAAACCACTAATTGGCATGAGCGACGGTATAGCCCAGCAGCTTCATGTGGGCTCCCCTCACTTCCTGAATTGCCCGAGTGGCCATCCATCATAAGCGTACCTGCCAGCTGAGTGAGATGCATGACGCGCGATAGCCGCCACAGAGGAAGTTACCACGGTTTTCAATAAGACGCAGGTTCCCACGGCGGATTACTGGGCCAAAACTCAGGAAACGCTGCCATTGATGCTGCTCCTAAAGATGAGTAATGCAGGACGATAAATATCGTTGCAAATAAAAATACCAAAAACGCGTTTAGCCGATAAGTTAATACCGACACGCTGTAACAGGGCTGCAAAATGTTTTGCCCACAAATTATAATACTTCTGTTGCCATTTAAATTTAAAATAAGTTGCTATGTTAAAGTAATGAGTTAAATTAAAAATAAAGACACCGTCAGTATCTTTCTGGCGGGCAAGTGGTTAAGATTAAAGAGTGAGAGACGCCAACGGATGTTTCCAAACCATGACACTAAGTGCTGTCCTGCAAATAAAGACGATGCGCCTATGACGGTCGACTGGGCCCAGTACTCAATTTGAGGTGAGCGATTGCTTCGGTATCGCCCAGTCAAACAATTTCTGGCCAAGCTGCGTGGCGTGTGAGAGACGACGCTGGACGCTTCCAAATCACGACGAAAATGCGCTGTCCTGCAACCAAAGGCACATAAATAAAAGCAAAAATTGTTTTAAAATACATACTCACCAAAAGATGACATGCTCCACGACGGCCTGCTGGTTGAATACCCAACTTGGAGTGGGCGACTGCTCCGGCATCGCCCATACAAACAATTCCTGGTCAAACTGCATGGCGTGTGAGAGACGCCATTAGAAGCTTCCTAACCACAACGATGATGCGCTGTCTTGCAAGCAAAAGCACAAATAAAAAAATTGTTTACATACTTACCAAGAAGATGATACGCCCCACGATGGCCTCCTGGTTAAATACACAATTTGCAGTGAGCGACGGCATCGGCATCGCCCACTCGAACAAAATATGCAACAGCTCAGCAGCTCCTTGTGGGCTCCACCTAGCACCCTGAACTGCAACCGGCCTGTACTGCGGGCCACCCAATGCGTTGCTGCGGCTGCCAAGCCAGCTGACATGCAATACTCAGATAAGATGATCTGCTCCACGACGATCCACTGAGCCAAACCACTAATTGGCATGAGCGACGGTATAGCCCAGCAGCTTCATGTGGGCTCCCCTCACTTCCTGAATTGCCCGAGTGGCCATCCATCATAAGCGTACCTGCCAGCTGAGTGAGATGCATGACGCGCGATAGCCGCCACAGAGGAAGTTACCACGGTTTTCAATAAGACGCAGGTTCCCACGGCGGATTACTGGGCCAAAACTCAGGAAACGCTGCCATTGATGCTGCTCCTAAAGATGAGTAATGCAGGACGATAAATATCGTTGCAAATAAAAATACCAAAAACGCGTTTAGCCGATAAGTTAATACCGACACGCTGTAACAGGGCTGCAAAATGTTTTGCCCACAAATTATAATACTTCTGTTGCCATTTAAATTTAAAATAAGTTGCTATGTTAAAGTAATGAGTTAAATTAAAAATAAAGACACCGTCAGTATCTTTCTGGCGGGCAAGTGGTTAAGATTAAAACCAATCAGGTGGCCTATGCCAAATATTCCTAAACAATATTGTTAAATTCCAAATTTTAAACCAATTGTCTCTGTATGCATTATGTACACTAATCTGATGGCCAATGCCATATTCATAAACAATATTGTCAATTCCAAATTCAAATACCAATTGTATTCGAATGCACTAAGTGCACCAGCCTAATGGCCATTACCAAGTCTTCTAATCAATATTGCAAATTCCAAATTTAAATACCAATTGTATTTGTACACATTATGTACACCAGTCTGATGGCCAATGCCATGCTTATAGCTGATATTATAAATTCCAAATTTATATACCAATTCATTTGTGCACATTATGTTCACCAGTCCACTGGCCATTGCCAAGTATTCCTAAACAATATTGTTAAATTCCAAATTTAAATACCAATCATATTTGTACACACTATGTCCACCAGTCTGATGGCCAATGCCATGTTTATAGCCAATATTAAAAATTCCAAACTTATATGCCAATTGCATCAGTGCGCATATACGCGCAAGCATAGTTATCTCCAGAATTAATTACAGGCTCGGCCAATATGAGACATGGCCAATTTACAATAACATAATATCCAGATTCTCTATTTCTTATGCTAACACGCATAAACGTTAAAGTTTAACACTATCAAGTGATCATCGATACATCGATACACTGATCTTGACACGATAATTGTCTCTCTCCGCCTCTAAGCGATATTCTAGAAATCATCATAAGCTGCGAGTTGACACTGCAAAGTTAATGCGAAAGTGAAATTGGCGGGAGCTGAAAATACCATCGTGCGCGAAAAACTTGTAAAACTTATAAAAAAACTCATAAAAACTCTGAAAGTAAAAGCATTAATTGCTAATACAAAGACAAAGTGTGTGAAAATAACGAATTTAGCGATTTAAATAAAAGTAAGTCTCAGGAAAATTTAAGTGTCCATAAAAGTCCCAAATAGCCGGTGTCTGCCTGTGTGTGTATGGCCACAAGTGCCAGTATAAGCAATTAATATTAAATAATTGCAAGTCAAACTTAAATCAAAGCCACACTTAAGTGGAATATTGATCAAATTCTCTCTCTGTCCATAATAATTCCCAAAATAAGTGCGCGCAAAATTAAGTCATAATTAATCCACAATAGTTGAAATCAAATGGTGTCCGTCTACCAAAATAATTCCATATATTGCAATAATAATTAAATCCAGTGAATATATAACCAATTCAAGCTAGTCAAACTCCAGAAATTTCCAAAGGAGTCTCAAAATAGTGCGCGAATAATTATTTCACAATTTGTGAATCTGGCCGATGGGTGTCTGTGAATTATCTGGGGAAATTAATTGAAAGCCTAACATCCAACTTAAATAGTGGAAAGCGCTAAATCAAGTCAGAATTCCATAATTTTCGGGGTAAGTCTCGTACCAAAATTTTATGTCCAAAGAAGTCTCAAGATGGCGTCCACAAAAATTTTACCAGAAGCGTTACTGTACACGCACACTCGCAGCTGTAGACGTCTATGATTTTTGGCGACGGCCTTGCTGGCGCCAGCCCAAGCCGACGCGTATGTACATACATACACATAACCTTGCTTTGAATTCTCTCTTGCTGCCCGGCATTGCCAGGCCGAATTATAAACTCAACCTCATACTACATATATTTATATTTCTATATTTATATACCTATTTTTAAGCCTTTTTACAAATTAATGCATACACCCAAAAGTATGCTTTCAAATTTTGAGAGTTCACCCATGTCCATACACACATAAGTGCAGCTGCGTACGCTTTGATTTTTGGCGGCCACTGCTGACACTTATGCACATACCCACTCAGTTTTCTCAATATTCTTTGCCATTCTCTGCATTACCAAAATAAGAACAGCTATGATGTAGGGTCTCTGGGGGAATTTAGTAGTCCGTCCGTAATTTACTAAATTACTTATCCCAATAAGTAAAGTATTGACTAGTTAAACCTGTCGTGAGTCCAGCAATTAAACCGGACCAGATCAACAGCTCGGCCAATTAGAGACAATATATCACCCAATAACTGCATAGCCAAAGTAAATATGCCTCAAAACCAGCACAAAGTTGCACCAATCACGCCTTCATTTTGATCTGCTCAGCCAACATGAGCCATCACTTTCACAGCCGATTTACATTGTGATCCAAGCAGCCAGTGTAGAAGACACCAGTATAATACCTTTACCTGCTCAACCAAGATGAGCCAAAAAAAGCAACTACAATAAATTTAATGTTGCAAACTAGGCAAATATTTCATCGAAATATCTTACTGCCTGTGACAAATTTGCACAAACTCATTACCAGTTCAACAGCTCCACCACGAGCCAAAAGCAACCAAAACGCTATAATGCCATACTAACACTATTATTAAAACAGCTCAGCCAATTGAGCCAATAACTGCACAACCGAGTTACACTGTGCCAAGCCAGAATAGTAATCTATTTCTCTCACCCAAGATCCAGCAAACCATCGCTTGCAACTGTCCACAATCCCAAATTTGGAATCACCGCATTAATAACCCATAACAACTCCGGGGAATCGCTAAGGACCACCAGTATTTAGATTGTCCTATGGAGCAGCATATATTGCCATCAACGACCAGCAGTAATTTCAAATATGGATATATTTGCCCGCCGCTGATCAGTTTTATGCATGTGTGTAAAATGTACGCACTTTCATACTGTGTCAATACCCAGGGCTCCAACGGTGAACATCTGATGCCAGCCTCTGATTCGACTGTGCCAGTGCCAACCGCCCAAAGGACTCCAATCTTAAACATAAATACAAATAGGTTCCCAAATTGGGAAGATAGTCAGACTAGTATGCTTAAGATTGTTAATTCAAATCCATGTCTCCTAGTGGCCAATGCCAAGCTTTCCAAACAATATGTCAAATTTAAAATTCCAAATTCTAAATCAATTGTATTTTTACTCATACATATACACCAATCAGGTGGCCTATGCCAAATATTCCTAAACAATATTGTTAAATTCCAAATTTTAAACCAATTGTCTCTGTATGCATTATGTACACTAATCTGATGGCCAATGCCATATTCATAAACAATATTGTCAATTCCAAATTCAAATACCAATTGTATTCGAATGCACTAAGTGCACCAACCTAATGGCCATTACCAAGACTTCTAATCAATATTGCAAATTCCAAATTTAAATACCAATTGTATTTGTACACATTATGTACACCAGTCTGATGGCCAATGCCATGCTTATAGCTGATATTATAAATTCCAAATTTATATACCAATTCATTTGTGCACATTATGTTCACCAGTCCACTGGCCATTGCCAAGTATTCCTAAACAATATTGTTAAATTCCAAATTTAAATACCAATCATATTTGTACACACTATGTCCACCAGTCTGATGGCCAATGCCATGTTTATAGCCAATATTAAAAATTCCAAACTTATATGCCAATTGCATCAGTGCGCATATACGCGCAAGCATAGTTATCTCCAGAATTAATTACAGGCTCGACCAATATGAGACATGGCCAATTTACAATAACATAATATCCAGATTCTCTATGCTAACACGCATAAACGTTAAAGTTTAACACTATCAAGTGATCATCGATACATCGATACACTGATCTGGACACGATATTTGTCTCTCTCCGCCTCTAAGCGATATTCTTTAAATCGTCATAAGCTGCGAGTTGTCTCTGCAAAGTAAATGCGAAAGTGAAACTGGCGGGAGCTGAAAATACCATCGTGCGCGAAAAACTTGTAAAACTTATAAAAAACTCATAAAAACTCTGAAAGTAAAAGCATTAATTGCTAATACAAAGACAAAGTGTGTGAAAATAACGAATTTAGCGATTTAAATAAAAGTAAGTCTCAGGAAAATTTAAGTGTCCATAAAAGTCCCAAATAGCCGGTGTCTGCCTGTGTGTGTATGGCCACAAGTGCCAGTATAAGCAATTAATATTAAATAATTGCAAGTCAAATTTAAATCAAAGCCACACTTAAGTGGAATATTGATCAAATTCTCTCTCTGTCCATAATAATTCCCAAAATAAGTGCGCGCAAAATTAAGTCATAATTAATCCACAATAGTTGAAATCAAATGGTGTCCGTCTACCAAAATAATTCCATATATTGCAATAATAATTAAATCCAGTGAATATATAACCAATTCAAGCTAGTCAAACTCCAGAAATTTCCAAAGGAGTCTCAAAATAGTGCGCGAATAATTATTTCACAATTTGTGAATCTGGCCGATGGGTGTCTGTGAATTATCTGGGGAAATTAATTGAAAGCCTAACATCCAACTTAAATAGTGGAAAGCGCTAAATCAAGTCAGAATTCCATAATTTTCGGGGTAAGTCTCGTACCAAAATTTTATGTCCAAAGAAGTCTCAAGATGGCGTCCACAAAAATTTTACCAGAAGCGTTACTGTACACGCACACTCGCAGCTGTAGACGTCTATGATTTTTGGCGACGGCCTTGTTGGCGCCAGCCCAAGCCGACGCGTATGTACATACATACACATAACCTTGCTTTGAATTCTCTCTTGCTGCCCGGCATTGCCAGGCCGAATTATAAACTCAACTTCATACTACATATATTTATATTTCTATATTTATATACCTATTTTTAAGCCTTTTTACAAATTAATGCATACACCCAAAAGTATGCTTTCAAATTTTGAGAGTTCACCCATGTCCATACACACATAAGTGCAGCTGCGTACGCTTTGATTTTTGGCGGCCACTGCTGACACTTATGCACATACCCACTCAGTTTTCTCAATATTCTTTGCCATTCTCTGCATTACCAAAATAAGAACAATTATGATTTAGGGTCTCTGGGGGAATTTAGTAGTCCGTCCGTAA